TGCTATGATCCTACCTCTCGCAAGTACTATGTCTCCATTGATGTATCCTTCTTTGAGAATCAACCTTTCTTCTCGGTTTCTCCTCAGGGGGAGAGTAGGGTTGAGGAGAAACAGGCGGCTCAAACTCAACTACCTCCTTTACCCGATTCTCCTCCATTCTGGGTTTTTCATCGTCGCCATAAAAGCCAACGGAGTTCAAGAGTTGTGGAACCTGACACTATGCAACAAACATCATCGGATTCACCGGAGGCAGATCCGTCTCATCAGCCAGGTACACTTGCTCCTATTGATATGCCTGTTCCTCTCAATGTTGATTCACCTGTCATCAATGATCTTGATATTCATATTGCTAAGAGAAAGGGTGTTAGATCTTGTACCACTAATCATACTATCTCTAATTTTGTGTCCTATGATCATGTTTCACCTTCATTTCGTGCATTCCTCTCTTCTGTGGACAGTGTCCTCGTTCCTAAGAATGTGGCAGAAGCTTTATTTAAACCTGAATGGACAGATGCAATGCAGGAAGAAATTGATGCATTACACAAAAATGGCACTTGGGAGTTGGTGGACCTTTCTGAAGGGAAGGAACCAGTGGGTTGCAAGTGGGTGTTCACAGTGAAACACAAGGCTGATGGAACTGTTGAAGGTACAAGGCTAGACTAGTAGCAAGAGGTTTTACACAGGTATATGGAGTGGACTATGCAGAGACTTTTGCTCCAGTAGCCACGATGAACTCTATCAGGATCCTTCTTTCATTGGCAGCAAATCTTGACTGGGAACTTCACCAATTGGACATCAAAAATGCYTTCTTGAATGGTGACTTGGAAGAGGAAGTGTACATGACCCAACCTCCAGGTTTCTATGCCAAAGGCAATGAGGTGTGCAGATTAAAAAAATCTTTATATTGGTTGAAACAATCACCTCGGGCTTGGTTTAGTAAGTTCTATTTAGCAGTTCAACAGATGGGGTTCAAACAATGCCAGTCAGATCACACTCTCTTTGTGAAAAGAGGTGAAGGTAAAATTGCAGCTCTTATTGTGTATGTGGATGACATAGTGATCACAGGAGATTGGGAGGCTGAAATACGGAGACTAAAAAATTCTTAGCCACTCAATTTGAGGTAAAAGATCTAGGCCCCTTACGTTATTTCCTTGGAATTGAAGTTGCCTGCTCTCACAAGGGCATCTTTATTTCCCAACGGAAGTATGTACTAGATCTACTAGAA